GGTTGAGTTGCCCCTGCTGCCCTCCGTGCCGTCACTGAATAAGAAGGTATAGCAGAAGGGTAACTCGAGTCGGTTCCCTTATTGTTTTACGTCCACAAAAATTTAACTCGCTCACACCATCCTGGCTAGTACAACCGGAAGTTTTTATCAGGTTTTGGTAGGTGCAAAGTGTCGGTTGTACTAGCCAGGATGGCGTGATTGATGACGAATCACTTGTAAAAACGCGGACAAATACTTGCTTGAGTTACACTTTTGCTGCACCTTCTTATTCTGTGGTGCTATCTACAGCCTTGTTAGATTTGTACTATGTTTGACTTTCAAATCTTATTTGCTATTATATTTAATATAATAAGTGATGAAAACGTGACTCAAGTTTTTTCGCAGATACATGTACGCGTCGCGTACCTATTTTTCAGGCATAGTATTACATGCATTTAGAATAATTTACATCACTTATTTAAATTTCCTATCGAGCTTTAGTCACCAAGCTTGGCAAACTGAGTTTAAAGTCTCTTCTTGGAGTTTTCGAGGAGTTTACGAGCGTCGTACGTGAAATTTTATTGGGAGATACCAATAATTTACCAACTGGTATTCCTTTTTGCTTAAATTAAGAAATGTGTAGAAACTCGATTAGCCAGGAAGGAACAGAATAATTTTTAGGTAAGTTCATGGCCATCTCTCTCGCTTCTAGACAACACATCACTGATGTTTCAAAGGACTCAAAGGACTCCATCTTGATATATTCAAAGTATAAGTAGACTAATATAATTACCACCTTCCAATTCTTACAACCACCATCTTTGGCAACTTCTCTCGCTTCTGCTAAATATTTGAACGCTTCATCTTGCTCTCCGTGAGCTTCACAGAGCGCACTTAGGCTATAAAGACTAAGCACAAAACGTTCGCATGTCATTTTGGTTATGGGTATTTTTTCCCAAATTTTAACAGCTTCAGTATAGTATTCCTTGGCTTGACTGACGTTGCCAATCTTTTCTGCTGCACTGGCGATATTGTCATAGATCTTTGCCGTTTCATCATTAGCGCTATATTCTCCATAAATTACGGAGTTCATACTGAGAGCATCTTCAAAGCAGTGGTGAGCTTTGGCAAAATTACCACAAACATCCTTGTAGATTGTTCCCATGCCGTTAAGTATGTCTAAAGTAATAAGATGAGCGTGATTTGGTCCTAGAATTAAATCCATAATTTCCTTTGCTTCTCGGAAATACTCCAGAGATTTCTCCGAGTAAAAGGCCCATGCGAGATTATACAATATTTTGGCCAACATGATGTGAGGTTTTCCACGATACAATGTCCTCGCATATTCTAATGCGCTTTCTAAGTTGTCCATGTGGGTTAAACAGGGTAATGGATCTGGAACTAAAAAGGAACATGTGAATTGAGTGAGGCAATCCATGGTTTATTTAAACAGAATAATCTTTAAAATACATGTATTTATTTAAATAGTTGACTGGCCGTTGTTCATTTTAACTACTAACTTTATTTACACAGGTTCAGTAATGATATCTTATTGATACAGTGTTACTACCGGAGAAAACCTAAAATAAACTATAGCTTTATTTTTACTGGATGGCTCAATTAGTTCTCAACTGTTCTCGCTTGAGGTCCAGCAAGGCCGATCCTTGACGTTAAGTATGACTAAAACAGGATGAGGTAAAAGGAACATGCACTAACGACAATAGTAGACTAATATAGAGCCGATCGAACCTTATTTTTCGGATGGCGCAGCGGTGGTGAAGGGTGACGCAGGGCGTCGCAACATGATGAAGTGAGCAAGGGGGCGAGGCAGCTAGGACTTATCCTATCCGGTTACAGAACTCAGTCCATACGTCACAATAGGTTCCGGTATTATACACTCACAAAAAACTCAAACGCAATTGATCAATTGCGAGTCATAAATAGGGTGACGTACATGCTTGCCCGATATTTTACGGTGTAAGACAGATGCTTTTGCTACGATATAGCAAAGAAACTAGTATAACAAAAAGTTAGTGAAATTGCTGCCGTACGTGTATTCGCATTGCAAACTTGCGAGAAAGTTGGCGCCTTGATTACCTTATGTTTGACATGATGGCCTGGTTACCAATCGCGTCTCAACATCAGTAATAGCCAGTGCGCTGAGAGGCATTCACCCCCTGATAACATTCAAAATGGCGGACCTCCATAAGTGCACTGGGTAGGATCATGGCGTCAGCATTTTGATGACGAATCATGTGGTAGCATCATGTGGCAGCTGCAATGCTTTGCAGGTAACCCACAACCAAATTTCAACTGCAATGCTTTGCAGGTAATTCACAACCAAATTTGTTAATTGTTCTGAATAGTACTAATATAGTGATGGGTTGTAGGACGTATTTCAGTAGTTATAATGAAAAAACTTTGCAATACTCTACCAATAAAAAGTTATATATTATTTGGCCAGCCTACTAGCCATATGCTCTCTCTTGCACGCACTATATGCTTGGTTCGTAGGGATACGAAGGGGTACTTGTGGGTTATTACCCATTCTAATAACAAGTAGGTTTAACTGCTGACATGTAATTTTAATAGTTTGTTTGGCCAAGTAAAACAGTGAATGCAATGTTTTAAAGTTAATATCTCATTTATTTCAAATGTCAATTGTCAAACACTTAAACCCTTACACTTAAAATTATGAAATATTGTAAACAAACCAAATACCGTAACCTTCGATTATAAGCCCTGGGCTTATATAAGTTCGTAAGCGTTTGTTGATGGGTTTATATCATCACATCAACATATTTATATGATCGAGAAAAGAACGTCTGATGCCAAAATAGATCATTGCTTCTCACACTATAACTACAGTATTAAAATGTGCACCAATTCAGGCACGACATGGCTCAATTATTACCCCCATTAAACCAAATGCAATATATTCTGTCACTGCCACTTGATCTATCAGCAGTAGTATTAAATAGAGGTCTGCAAAATTTGCAGTTTTATATGATATACTGTAGCTCTGAGTCACGTGATACCTTCGTAGAATGGCTCTCGTTTGTTTTGATGGCAATTGGCTCTCGTGTTTCTGTTTGTTTGTTTACAATTGATGCAAATTTTATTTGAGTTGCCTGTTGCCACACCGTGACCAACACGCAAAGTGTCTGATAAACATATTGATCAGCTACAAGCGTGAACACAATGATTCCCAACGCCAAATATGCACTGTCAGATCTATAAAATCAAACGCGAGCCTATGTATATATAATACAAGAACAAATCGTCAAATCTCCTGAAAATTCTTCTTAAACTAAAAGGATCGTAGATAATACTTTGATCTTACCTTAAAAAATGACTTTACAAGAAGATATAATTCTTAAAAATCGCAATATTTGCTGAATACTTGCCAACTTGTATTAAGTTTCGCCCTCGTGCTAAATCTTGGCAAGTCCCGAAGAGCAGCTTCCGTAAAGACCCGTCGAATATCTTCTACGTCACAAAACGTCATAAAACTGAACATCCAAACATTGCCAAATCCAAATCATTGTCGCATTCATATAGCTCGGTAAAGAGGTCTGGAAACAAATCACAAGAATAGGAAGCTGCCTGCGGCAGCAATTAAAAGGATTTGGAACATTAATGCTGTTTATTCTACCAGTTTTCATCAAAATTATAAAAGCGTGGGTTGTATTTTTCAAATTCATTTGTTTTAGAACAGACATGAGGTCAATAATATAATTACTTTTTTGTTAATATTAGGTCAAATCACTTTTAAAACGTACTTAATGCATGGAATCAAGTTTTATTGATACACACTTGTTTTAAAAACTAGATTATTAACCCTTTGTTCAGATATGTATTCGTACTTTCTACACGGCATCTCTTGCTTCACAACACGTACATAACACTCTAGCTTAGCCATATAGGCTTTGAAGCGTACTGTAGGTTAATAATGTGATTGTTTGCCAAGTGAGGGACTCGAATTACAGTTATATGTAAGAATAGGGACTTTTAAGTGCGAAATATGCCTTGCCCAGACTCGCCTTGCATATATTGTAACGTATGGTAACGGAACCCGGTAACGGAACCTATTGTGACATATGGACTGAGTTCAGCAACCGGATGGGATAAGTTCAACCACGCCCACTTACTCACTTTCACGATGTTGCGGCGGCCTGCACCACCGCTGCTCTGCCGCCTAAAAATAAGGGTAGAACGGTACCTATACTAGCTGATCTAACCGTGAGTGAAAGGCCTGGAATTAGGTACCGAATAGAAATCCATTTTGCTGTTTTTAATCACTTATATCTTTTATTTTCCTTTATGAAACTTGTTGAAACTTAGTAATCATGTTTAGTAAAGAAAAATTTAAGTCTACCAGAAATTTGGAAACAAAGTAAATTATATTTCAGGAAAAATTTTGTAGTTTGGATCGAAAAATGGATTTCTATTTGGCAGCTAGTGCCAGTACTTTTCCGTGTTTTCAGATCACCTGGTATGTTACTACTAACTACAATGCAGCGAACCTCTCAACTAGATACTAGATATGCACTACGCTGTCCAATTAGAGCCATAGTCCCTTTACCAAAGTTACCTCCAATTTTGGACCATTTGGCCCCGTCTACATACGATAATTTAGCTTAACTAAAATCTTACCTAGGTTGGCATTTTCGGGAAACATAATTTGAAACAATTCCAAACTTCGCTTGAAAAAAGACAGGGCTTCATCATTGAAATTGCCAAGTTCATATACCGTAGCTGCAATCGCATACGTTTGAGCCAAGTGAGAATTGACACTATGTTCACCAAATACTTGATGGCTAAGGTCCATCGCTCGTTTTATATATTCTATTGACTGTTCATATTGATCCAGTTTACTTAACACCTGGGCCATGTTAAGGTTTAAATAAAGCACGTAGATATCAGGAACACATCCTAATCTATTATACAGTTGTTCAACCTTTTGATATACTTCAATGCATGATGTGAAATCACCAAAAAACGCATCAAGTAAACCGAGACCGTGCATTATTAATCCGAGTATGAGAGTCTGAGATCTTTCGCCGTAGACTTCATCGTGTTTGCTAATCGCTTGCATTAACCGATGTCTGGACATTTCATATTGTCTTAGCTCTTTCAGTACAATCGCTAGATTATAAAAACATGCAACCACGTTTAGACTTGACATATCCTCATTTGTGTAATGTGCATCCAGCGCCTGTTGGAAACATTCCGCGCTCTTTTTAAATTCTCCATTTCCATAGTAAATAACGCCTAGACTGTAAAGACTGTTTGGGTAGTACGAACTATCTTTCGATTCCGAAGCCAGCCACTCTAACGCTTTAGACGAACTTTGTAGACGATAATAAAGAAGTCCCATTTGAGTTGCATTCGAAGATGGAGCGAATGGACTCTCAAATATACTGGCGTCGATTTCATCTTGTTTTAAGTACTTCCGAGAAAACTTCTGGCAGCGTTTATGCATATCGCAGCTGATACTAAGAAGATGAACTAGGATATGCTCATGAAAATAGCGGAAAATAGGGACATCGGCGAATTGTTCCGTTGCGTTCACATATTGAGGAATAGGCGAGAGTAGCTCTGTCTGTTTATTACTGGCAAAGTACGTTTTCAGCCGTATTTCGTTTGCAATTGATAGACACACTTTGACGCTTTCACTTTCGGACTCACCAAAGATTCCCCGAGTGTGCAACTCCGAAATAATCTGCCAGGGCGAGGGAGATCTGATGTCGAATATCAATCCCAAATCAGAAAGAAGTAGCGAGATGAGACGGTAAAATTCCTTCTTGGCATGAAAAAGACCACCTACAGTTAAGTGAGAGCCAAGGTAGGAATCGTATGGATTGTAGTCAACAATGTCGATCATCATTTGGTGAATTCCTCGGATGAAGCCAACTGTGCGACTGAGTGTGCCCTCTGTTGAAGACGATTTCGTATTCAATTTCTCAGCCACACGTTCATTGTATTCGTCCAATAAACCTTGATGTCCATGAAGCAATGTAGCCCTTGACATAATATCAGCTAAATGGAATAACAATAATTAAAACAATATTATAATATAACGTTTATTGTACGCGAGCGTTGATAGATCAAAAGTCTTTGTATATCAATAAAAAAATGAAACATTCTTCAAACATCCAAAGGCAGTAGATAAATTCTTATACGTTGTTTAAAGATTGAATTGAGGTGCCGTGTTCTCCTCCTCATGGAAATACCCTACCCACCACCTACAGTAACAGGCTTAAAAGTCAGCAGTAAGGTTCATAATGCTGACTATATCTACCATCCGTGATTCCCACTTTGGGAATCACGGATGGTAGGTAGCTGTAAGCGAAATTGATCGAACACATCGAGTTGGGAAGCAAAGGAATCATTCAACTCCACGTGCTATGATAGTTAAATTCTTGTCATATCAGTCAAAGCTGAAAGTCTTAAAACATCGGCGAAATTTGAAAGGAAGTAAGAAATTCATCAATGAAGACCTTACTTTAGTGAACAAGATCTTATTCGACTCGGCAAGAAGAGATCTAATCAACCTCTCTGTGTGGACGACGGACGGTAAAGTATTGGTTAAGATGGCTGACGAAAAGATTGTCCGAATCAAGTCTAAGGACGACATTTGTTTACTAAAATGATTTATCCCGCCTTCATTCCAAATTAAACATGCTTCATTGACTATATATTTTTTTACATGTTTAGTAAATCCTTTGATATTTACGCTGTGTTATTTTTTCATAATTTAATTTTCTTTGTGTGTAATCTTGTGCAGCCCGAGGTAAGTGTTGTCTATTTTGTATTGTGCGAATTTGATGGGGGTTAGTTTGGAAATTTACAGAGCAAATATCGGGAAATTTAATTGTTATGAAGTCAGTTTGTGTAAATCATATTTTCATGCCAAAATAGCAAGCGGACGTTTGGGATGTTTTATGGCATTTTTTATATTTAAAATGTCATTAATTTTACTGTCCGGAGATGTTGAGGTTAATCCTGGTCCATCTAGAAACCTAACTTTAAACGTTGGTCATATTAATGCTAGAAGTTTGAATGTTGAAGAAAAATTTGATGAGATTACTTCTCTTGTT